CCACTAACTTCTGTCCCCTCGGGATATCGACACCCCAAGAGCTCCAGCCAGCATCACCCCAGGGTGCTGAGCGCCGTGGGGACGAGGGACCTTGCCCTGGATCCCACGGGATCCATGGGGGAATGAGGGGGTGTCAGCACCCCCCACCCCAGCTGGAGGCTGGCTGCTCCCCCCCGTCATCGCATTTCCCTGCAGCCCACCTTCGCATGGGAAGAGCCCCCACTTCCCTGCACCCTTTTGCCCCCCTGGTGCAGGCTCCGCATCCATCCCTGCACCAACGGCTCTGGATCAGGCCACCCCCAACAGTCAACCTGTGTGGGCAAGGGGGGACCAAGGGTCTCACCACCCTTCAGGGGCAGAGGAGGGACAGCGGTCGATGCCGCGTACCAGGCAGGGACATCCAGCCGGGGGATGAATTTCAGAGCCTCCCCCCCCTCCCACACCCCTGGGACACGCAGCGGGCAAAGCATGGCAGAGCCCTAATTCATCGGGCTCCATCACTACGCTTAAATTTAGGACCAGACAAGGCAGCAGAGCCCGATGCAGGTGTGGAGCCATCTCGCAAGTCTGCTTTCACCACCTTTCCTACAAACCTGCCTCAGATTTGTCTTCATTAGAGGCAGAAGCAGCAGCAGAGGGTTGGATGGGGGCGGCAGGACAGACCAAAACAGTGACGGCTCTTCAGTCTCGCAGAAGAAATCGAGCAGCAGCTCCCTCCTCTCGGGCAGAACCGGCTGCTGCCGCTGGGCGTGTGTTTTCCTGGAGGAGTTACTCAAAATATTTAACATGAATTAAAAGACTATGAAATGCAGCCACGTTAGCGACCCGTTTTGGCATTTCTGGAGGAAATCGATGTGAGCTCTGTCTGTCTGTCCATCCTGTGAGCGGGTCACACACAGCTGGGGAGAGATCTCACCCCAAATCCCTTCTCTGCCCAGTTCAGTGCTGGGAGCTGAGCTTGCTCAGGGGGCTTGCCCTGCCATGGGGCTCCCCGAAAACCCACAGGAGAGGCTTTGCTCATCCCCCCCAGCCCTGCTCTGCTTCATGCTCCCGCCAGCACCTGGTTTCGGCTGCCTGTGCCATGGGGAGCCCTGGGCTCAGCCCCACGTCCCGGCTCATCCCGGCTGACAGCTCCCGGAGCACACCAGCAGCCGTGGGACAGCCCCACACCAGCACCTTTGTCCCGCTGTCTCCGAGAGCAGCTGGAAGCAGATCTGCTCTGGCACCCGCCTGGGTGTAGGTGACAGGAACCCCATGGCGACAGACAGACACGGGCTGGAGGGAGGCGCAGACTGGGGTCCTGATCCTCACCTTTACGGGCTCCTTCCCATCAGCTGAGCACGATGTCCCCATCGACCACGACAGGCTGCATCCAGACCCTGACAGGGGGTCGATGGAGGGGGCAGGATGGGCTGGGGTCAGCACCTCTCCCCAGCCAGGGTGCCCGTGCTGCCTGCTTGACACCCTCCCTCCTCGCCCCGGTACCAGAAGTGTTTAAACCACCCCTTTTCCAATTTTTTTTTAATTAACAAGTATTGGAAAGGTGCAAAGAAATCACAACTCCAGAAAATACTGAACAGGCAGGGTTGAGGTCAGTGTTTTCTGCCCCGGCTCGGGCACCGCCCGCCTTGGACACGCGAGCTCTTCCCTCTCCCAAAGCAT